CTCTTCCCCACCCGGTGACTGACGCTGCGCTGTGCTGAACGGTTCAGCCTGAACCTTTCCCCTACGTCTGACCGTTCCCCACTCCTCTGTCAATCGAACCATATGCCACCGCTTACGTACTGTCGCTCGCCCACCCAGGTACCTAGCGGCCAGCGGTCAGTTGATGATAAATCTCGCTCATGCTCCTATGCAGCTACGCATTGATTACGCCAGCTAATTACTTTCTAATAATTAGAATTTCTTCGATTATAGTTTTCTTTATTTATTCGACTGTATTTTTTTCTCTGTTCTACTGTGATTTCCTTGGTTCTCTACTGTGTTTTTCCTAAATATCCGAGTCAGAAATCTGAAGCACTTCGGTATGCACCGAGTACTTTAGATGTGTGACCTGAAACCTTCGGTATATACCGAACTACTTCAATTGTCTGACCCGAACTTCGGCAGATGGACCTTAACTTTTCGGATGCGTGATCCGAAAACTTCAGAGATCCATATGATCTCAGCTTCGGGTTCCATGCACAATTTTTTTTTCTCCGTGTTTCCTTTTAGGGGACGCAACTAAAATTTCAGTAAATTTTTTTCAGAAAAGTAAAGAAAAGAAAGAAAGAAAAAAAAAAAGTGGCTAACGATGGTTCCTCACCTTCACGTGGTGTTGGCTGTTTTTACTAAGTGGGAACCGTCCATTTTAAGATATAGTCTATTTCTTGCCCTGCCATTATTATTCTACAAGTTAATTGTGGAGTGAGAATTTCATAATGCTTTCTATGAAATCTTCAAAATATAGTGTTAAAAAATTTGCAACTACTACATAATCGGCTCGCGAAGCGAGCCGAATGTCACTCGCGTAGCGAGTGACCGGGGGTCCAGGGGGCGTAGCCCCCGGCTAGGCGTGACGGGCGCGCGAAGCGCGCCCAGAACGGCTAGTAACGTGATAAATTCGCAACTGACAAAGGAAAAATGGCGGACCGCAGCTCAGTCAGGCGGGAACTCTCACCGCGCTGACTGTACCTGATGGTTAGGTCGTCTTTGAGACGGCCGGTTCAGCTCTGTCAATATGGTTAATCCGTCCATCTCAGCCACAGCGACATCCGCCATAAGATTTCTGCTGGCTTGACCTACCTGTGAGGGTATGCTAACATAAATTGCTGGATGCACCACTAAACAATGCAACAGTTGGAGTTAATTTAGGCGTTTAGGTGAATTGGATTCGTGCTTGGTCACAACGGTCAACAATTCTGGTAAATCCAACTATTTTTGTTGGCTCTCACAGCTATTTACTCTTCAACTATACCGTATTAGCTGTTAGAGACAACATATTTTTACTTTCTCGCTCCCCTAGGGTAGAGGAAGTATTGCCATCCTCCAAGAAAAAAAAAAGAAAAAAAATTGAAGTTCCATCATTTCTAGACGTTTTAAAGTCCCACGAGTCAAAATAATCATACTTGAAAAAATGTATGTTCGTCCGTCAAGCGTCTCCCAAATCCGTCTACAGCGATATCTCAGAATCTATTAGTTCAAATTCATTCAAAATTTGCAGAGAAGACCATATCTATGGTCTCCTTATGCACGTCAAACGATTTTGGGGTACGTTAAAATTTGGGGGGGGGGGCTAGGGGCCATGGTCGATTCTTGGCAAAATCACAAGGAAATCTCAATTTCAAGGACTGTAAATTTGGAAAAGTGCCTTTAATTCTTTAAAAGTGGGCATCATGGAAGATCTTTGGACTAAACTCAAAATTCAAGGGATACGAGGCACAAAAGTAGGGCACTTTGCTCCGCAACATCACATAAACAGCTCATTTTGAAGGACTGTAAATCTTAAAAAAAATGCCTTTAATTCTTGGAAAATTGGCACAAAAGCACCACCTGGGTCATTAATTTAAGCTCCTAAGAGAACTTTGAGCTAAACTAAAAATTAATAGGTTACGTGTCATACAGCGAGGGCACTTTGATCACACGAAGAGCTCAGTTTGACGGACTGTAGATTTTGAAAAAATGCCTTTTTCAAAAAAATTTTGATGATTTTGAAAATTCTTTGAAATTTGGCACAAAAGCACCACTTGGGTCGTTAATTTAAGTTCCTAAAAGATCTTTGGACTAATTTTATAACTGAAGAGGGGCCAATAGCAAATCGCCTTCTCTTCGTTTCACTGATTTTGAGGATGTATCTCTCAGAGCTAAGAACGCTACTTGAGGGCTAGAATAACTGCTGAATAACATCATTTACAAAGGTGTTTAACATTCTTTTGCAAAGTCAGGGATGAGGAAGGGGAGGGGGAGGCTCCTACCCATTGGCATCGGTCACTGCCTCTCTCAAAGAAAAATGCATCAGCCAAAAATCAGCGATAGGATATTCATATTACTCATACAGACAGATGTTACAAATTCTATTGGAAGGTTGGAAGGGGGGGGGGTGCTTCACACAAAAATATGTCCGCCCCAGATTCACTCGACGAAAAAGCTGGGGAAGTCTCATCCGACAGAACGAAGGAGTAGAATGTTCATAGAGCGTTAGCCAATCACCTTTCAGCACGGTTACAGATTGTGTGCGGTGTTTACAGACGTCCTTTTCAGCGCTTTAAACCTTCTCTGAGAAGTGAGGAGAGATGAACCAATCAGCAAGTAGCTTACATAGAGTGACTTATACCCACAGACATCACTCTCACGGGAAAAATTGGGGCATACAAGTTTAAAAAGCTCCAGGAAAACCTTCGAGACTGGACATTGAAAGATTCGGATTTATGGTATCATCTGGACATCAACAGCTTGCAAAAAAATCACGGAAATTCGTCCGGCAGTTCCTGAGAATTAGAGATCACAAGGTTTCGATCCTTACAGTTTTATTTATGTAGATGTAACATTTCAGAGGGGGTTCGAATGGACTTCTGGGGCACCCTGTATATTTATAAAGTTTCATGCACACTGGTAGCATACTTATTCAAGACCGGACCCATTATTTTGATTTGATATATGATGACCGATTCCATCTACCAAAAGTATGCAAACGTGTTACATGGAATCGAAATCTACATTACATCTCTTTTTTTGGCAAAATGTCATGTAAATCTGCTGTATCCATTTTAATTTCAGGTCAACGCTCAAACAGTAACGTTTTTGTTTACGCGTGCTGAAGTTCAAAGACTTTATCTTTATCGCCTCATTGAGACAAATGATGTTACGGATATTTTCAGTTATAACAACAAACTTAGAAAAAGCACATGGAATCCTAGTACCCACTTACCTCAATTTAAAACGAGGAAATTGCGATAATATAAACCAATGATTAATTATTTTGGAGCGAAATGATAGTGATTTTTTTCAAAACGTGACGACCGAGAGTAATACGATTTTTACTACATTGCGTGTAAAACAAATATGTACAATGAATTTCTTTGTTGAAGAAAGTTTCAAGTGCGGATAGGAAATTGTACGATGCTATTATTTTATTGTAATCAGCAATCAAACTACTTTTCTTCCGTAGGTCCGCATAGATATGTTTTCCTAATTTACAAGCAACCATTTTCACCACACGCGAACTTCACAGTACACTATACAGAGCCAAGAATGCCGCAGCCGTAAGTGATTGCTACACTTTTATTTTATAAACTACCCAAAACTTCGTAAACCTATACAAGTTTATTCAACCTCAAAATGCATCAGTTACCTGTACGTGAAAAAAATAATTGAAAAATAAGATGTTTGACACCGAAGTGTTAAAGAGCGCGCCCAGTTCATCCTTCGTAATTGCAAAGACTAGATCCATTTTTTTTTTTTTTTTTTATGAATCATCTGTTTCTAACTATTTGATCGATAGGCCGGTTGCAAACTTTTGATAGAGCAAAAATAAGAGTTGTTCCTTGTAGATAATGTCTCAAAAATCACAATGAGTGCCTCGGTAAACACTGAAATGCATACTCTTAACTTGACAATCTGCGTAAAAAATTTGCGTGTTTTTAAGTTTCCCGCTTCAAAAAGGATACTAAGGCACAGGTGAAAATTTTGTTAAAGGAGTCGTTCCATTCAATCCCTGCTCAATATGGCCGACGCTTCCGCGCACAAGTTGAGAGCACGAGGTCAATCAAGGCGGATAGGTATCTATCAACGAGTGAAAAGTGTGAATGTGAGCACGCCGATTGTTATTAGGTGGTTAGAAGGTAGAATAATCGTCCCATCACATGTGTTTTGGCCGATTGGCGTCGGCTATGTTCAATAATGCGTAGTATCTTTGTGAGCAAGGATTTAATGGAATGACTCCTCTAACGAAATGTTCACCTGTGCCGTGGTATCGTTTTTCAAGCGGGAAGCTCGGAAAAATGCAAATTTTTTATGCGAATGGGCCTGTTGCAAGGTGCGGGGATTTGCAAATTGATGCCTGATTCTTATGGCAAAAATACGAAAAGAACGATGGCGCTACTAAAAAACCTTGAAATGACCTCTCAAGCTCAAAAAAAGCTGTTTTTGGAACCGACCCATTCAAAACGGTCGTTTTTCAACCGCCATACTTGTGATTGGTGGAGCCTATATATTCTGTGCTTGTGACGTGAAATGGTTCGACAGCCATGGTTTCTTCATCACTTACAATGTATTTTCCCGTAAGGAAATGACAACCGCTTTTCAAATGCAAATATCGAGTCAATCGATAATTTTTTGATCATAATGGAAATCAGAAATGGATTCCTCGTAAGTTTAAATGGTTAAAACCTTCATTAGATAAATAAGAACCGACGGGATAAACCCTATTTTTACGGAGGACTGTGGTCAATGGGCGATTGTTTACATCTGCTTAGTGATAACAGACATGGGCATTAGCTCAATATTAAGCCATTTTCATGAGTTTTTACTTTTTTGTCACTATTTGAAGGTAAGTTTATTTTGTAAATCAATTGTTTAGTGCCTTAGGATCATGTTAAAAGCTGTAACGGTACACATTGTTACTCATTAATTCAGAACACACTCCGGCAGTCCAACGCTCAAACCATGGATGTTCTCTCAATGCGTGTAAATCATTCTTAACTCTTCAACAAACATCTCAATATCATTCAGAACGTTCCCACGTTTTATAAACTTATATTATTCAAAAATCCTGTGTGTTTTAAATGTAACGCTATACAGACAAATTTATCGATAAAGTCAGCTGGTAACCGAAGAAGGATCCTACGTCTACTTCCCTTGCCTCCAGCTAAAACATACCGGTCTCCTCATCTCATCAGTATTGTCAAAGGTAAGTTTTTTTCATCATCAATGATTGATACTATCATTTTGGGGTCTTAAGTGAAGCATTAAAGGGTGAAATAGTGAGAAATAACAACTGACTCGCTACATCCAGGTTTGAGCGTTGGACTGCCGGAGTGTGTTCTGAATTAATAAGTAACAAAGTATACCTTTACAGCTTTTAACATGATCCTAAGGCACTAAACAATTGATTTACAAAATAAACTTACCTTTAAATAGTGACAAAAAAGTAAAAACTCATGAAAATGGCTTAATATTGAGCTAATGCCCATGTCTGTTATCACTGAGCAGATGTAAACAATCGCCCATTGACTACAGTCCTCCTTAAAAATAGGGTTTATCCCGTCGGTTCTTATTTATCTAATGAAGGTTTTAATCATTTAAACGTACGAGGAATCCATTTCTGATTTCCATTTTGATCAAAAAATTATCGATTGACTCGATATTTGCATTTGAAAAGCGGTTGTCATTTCCTTACGGGAAAATACATTGTAAGTAATGAAGAAACCAGGTCTGTCGCACTATTTCACGTCACAAGTATGGCGGACCCGAAACGACCGTTTTGAAAATCCAAATTCTGAGGCGATTTTAAGTTGATTTTTAGGGGGTTGACGGTGATAAAAAAAACTCCGGGAAAATTCCTGTGACATCAGGAACCTTAGTTCTTTCGATTAAAGCAATAAAACAATTGTTGCAACAGGCCCACTGTTAAGTAAGGCATACTTTCCGACTTTGCCTATGCTCTCATCGTGACTTTTGAGAAATTTTCTATGAGTAACAATTCTTATTTTTGCTCCAGCAAAAGTTTGCATTAGGCCTCATTTTATTGTTCTTTATTCTATTTCTAGATATATTATTAATTTCATATGTCAACTGTTCAACTAAATTGAGAAAAATGCTCCCTTAGAGCTTTTAATATGCTTAAAAAGCTATTATTTACTTTTTAGCATGGATATCATGAGAATATTTCTCCTAACAGTAGGTACTAGTTTTAGAGTGTTTTCCGAATGAAAGATACACTATTGCGTTCTCCCTCATGGTGGGACCTAGACCTGGGACCATGTTAAGAGCACCGATCTCGGGTCGTAAATCACGAATATACATGTCACTAGGGGCCTGAGGCCGCTACGCGGCCGCTAAACACTGAATGGGAACTGCACGTAAGAAATCATAAAACAACCACGTTCAAGTTAATTATTATAAATGAATAGGAACTTGACTTGACAATAAATTTTGAAAGGAGATATAACATGCTCTGAAATTTTGGAAATTGAAATTGGAATTTTGAATTTATCATCATTTAATAACAATTTAAATTTATAATCTGGAAAAATTAAATTATTCCGGAAAATAATTTCGGACTTTTAAATGTGAAGTGCCAGTATTGTGATGCCTTGCATTTCAAAAAGGAGGATGTGAACGGCTATTTTAACAGATGTTGTCATAATGGTCTTCTCAGACTTGCCGAGCCTGGAATCAATGATCAACTTCGCGACCTCTTCTCCAACCCATTTTCATGACCAACATTTTGAGGTACAAAAGTTGTATGGCTTTTGCATTTCTGTCTGCTTCCGAAGCTCATATAATTTTGAACCAAATCCTCTGCTATCGAATACGAAAAATCATGGAAAATTTCAGTTTTATGTTGACCAGCTTCTCGATAGAAAAATAAAATTTCTAGGGAAGTCTGCAACGTCGCAAAAGGAGAAACGTCGTCACTCATTTTGCCCAAAAATATGTATGTATAGAATTGAAGGCATTATAACTGGCCTCTCTCAACTTATAATCGTATGTAACGATAAACAATGCAATGGGACGCGTTTGCTACGGCGCTTTGATACGAGTATACAACCTCGACATATGTCCGTATTGCGTTCAAAAAATTGAAGGCGTTTTGACTGCCTGCTCATACTACCTATAGTGGATTCGATCGACAAACGCGCTGGTCGGCGTTGACGGGGACTTGATGAATTTTTTAAAACTTGATGGATGTCCGTATCGCACCGACTGAAGTGCGAAACCACGTATCTCCATCGCGGTGTTTCAAAATTTCCGCTCTTAATTCATCTATTCCATGAGGAACAATCCAAATTTACGACTTTAAATTTTGAACCAAATCTTCTGCTATCGAATACGAAAAATCATGGAAAATTTAAGGTATATGTTGACCAGCTTCTCGACAGAAAAATAAAATTCCTAAGGAAGTCTGCAACGTCGCAAAAGAAGAGACGTCGTCTCTCATTTGGCCCAAAAATATGTACGTATAAAATTGAAGGCATTATGACTGGCCTCGCTTAAGTTATATTCGTATGGAACGATAAACAATGGGACGCGTTTGCGGCGCCTTGATACAACTATACAACCTCGACATATGTCGGTATTGCGTTCATAAAATTGAAGGCGTTTTGACTGCCTGCTCATACTACCTGTAATTGATTCCATCAACAAACGTGTTGGTCGGCGGTGGCGGGGACTTGATGCATTTAATTAAACTTGATGGATGTCCGTATCGCACCGACTGAAGTACGAAACCACGTATCTCCATTAAGGAACAATCCAAATTTACGAATTTAAATTTTGAACCAAATCTTCTGCTATCGAATACGAAAAATCATGGAAAATTTAAGTTATATGTTGACCAGCTTCTCGACGGAAAAATAAAATTTCTTAGGAAGTCTGCAACGTCGCAAAAGGAGAAACGTCGTCTCTCATTTTGCCCAAAAATATGTATGTATAAAATTGAAGGCATTATGACTGGCCTCGCTCAACTTATATTCGTATGGAACGATAAAGAATGGGACGCGTTTTCTACGGCGCCTTGACATAACTATACAACCTCGACATATGTCCGTATTGCGTTCAAAATATTGAAGTCGTTTTGACTGCCTGCTCATACTACCTGAAGTTGATTCGATCGACAAACGCGTTGGTCGGCGCTGACGGGGATTTGATGCATTTTTTTAACCTTGATGGATGTCCGTATCGCACCGACTAAAGTGCAAAACCACGTATCTCCATTGCGGTGTTTCAAAATTTCCGTTCTGAATTCATCTCTTCCATGAGAAACAATCCAAATTTACGAATTTAAATTTCGAACCAAATCTTCTGCTATCGAATACGAAAAATCGTGGAGAATTTAAGTTTTATGTTGACCAGCTACTCAAAAGAAAAAACGAGAAAGTAAAAATTCGAAGGAAGTCTGCAACGTCGCAAAAGGAGAGACGTCGTCTTTCATTTTGCCCAAAAATATGTATCTATGAAATCGAAGACATTCTGACTGGCCTCGCTCAACTTATATTCGTATGGAACGACAAACAATGGGACGCGTATGCTACGGCGCCTTGATACAACTATATAACCTCGACATATGTCGGTATTGCGTTCATTAAATTGAAGGCATTTTGACGCCCTGCTCACACTACGTGTAGTTGATTCGATCGACAAACGCGTCGGTCGGCGGTGACGGGGACTTTATGCATTTTTTGAAACTTAATGGATGTCCGTATCGCACCGACTGAAGTGCGAAAACACGTATCTCCATTGCGGTGTTTCAAAATTTCCGTTCTTAATTCATCTCTTCCATGAGAAACAATCCAAATTTACGACTTTAAATTTTGAACCAAATCTTCTGCTATCGAATACGAAAAATCATGGAAAATTTAAGTTATATGTTGACCAGCTTCTCGACAGAAAAATAAAATTTCTTAGGAAGTCTGCAACGTCGCAAAAGGAGAGACGTCGTCTCTCATTTGGCCCAAAAATATGTATGTATAAAAACGAAGGCATTATGAGTGGCCTCGCTTAAGTCATATTCGTATGGAACGATAAACAATGGGACACGTTTGCTACGGCGTCTTGATATAACTATACAACCTCGACATATGTCGGTATTGCGTTCATAAAATTGAAGGCGTTTTGACTGCCTCCTCATACTACCTGTAGTTGATTCGATCGACAAACGCGTTGGTCGGCGGTGGCGGGGACTGGATGCATTTTTTTAAACTTGATGGATGTCCGTATCGCACCGACTGAAGTGCGAAACCACGTATATCTATTGCGGTTTTGCAAAATTTCCGTTCTTAATTCATCTCTTCAATATTAAGCTTCTATATATCTCAATATATTAAATTTATAAGAATCTCTTTCATTAACATCGTAAATGCTCCGCCGAAACGAATACGGTAAATCACGCACCAGTCCTATTTCGCCACGCCGTTCGGGGGTTCAAGGAGGAGTTGCAAAAAACATGCCCACGCCTCGCAGGACGCCCACGCTTTGATCGCACGGATTCTTCTTGACTGAAGACAAACAAATTGCGAGACAACAACGGTCGACGGTGCACTACGCTTCCGCAGTAAATCCATCATCCACAAGCATTTCCAGGGAAACGAACGAACCGGGCAGTCGAGTCATCGGACCGAAGAAAAATAGGACGGGAAAAAGGAAAAACCGCGCATCTCCCGACGGGACCAACAGGACAACCGTTAATCCCGTGGGGGCGAGGGGGGCCGGGCACGCCGGCCGATCCCTATATTTTTCCCGCCGTCGGGGGACCGGGACGGTCGAGCCTGTACCACCCGAGCGCGGATCGGCCCGGCGGTTCGCGCTGAATTTTGACGTAAAGAAAAGGCTTACGGAATTATATACGGTGATGATTCATTTTCTGTCATATATATATATATATATATATATATATATATATATATATATATATATATGCCAGCGTGAGGATTTTTCAGTTTTCAGAGCGTTGAGCGGCAGTTAATTTTTAAGTTTCTTGAAACGAAACTTCTGGGGTTCATAATCCCCTAAGAGTACTTTTACACTGTGAAAAAATTCGAAGAAGTTCCGAAAAAATCGGAATACGTTAATTACTTTTCGCACAGCGAGGGGTCAAAGTGGGGGGATGTTTAATTTTGTCCACGCGATAACTAGAGTAAAAATGAATATTTTGAGCTGAAATTTTAATGGTAGTTAGATATCTACTAAGACTGGTTTCCTATTGAATTGCGGCCAAAGCGTTCCATAATATTGGCAATTTACCGTTTTTACGGGTGAGGGGGGCGGGGTAGGAGTTGCGCAGCCAAGGGGAACTGTTTCTCGAAACATATCTGTGGCAAGAGGGGTAGGTCAAATGATTTCATTCCACAATGTGCCACTACCCCTCGGAAAATACACTCATGCCGCGGTAGATGCAGAGACTACAAAAAGAACCGTCCCCTACTTGCCGGCAACCCCACGGAAAAACCCTGCCGCAAGCGGCAGGGTTTTTTAAAATGAATTTCACAGGTGAGACTGAATTTATACCTGGTGTTCCTGAGGTATCTGTTACAGTCGAAGAGAAAAGAGAAATGGAAGCTACACACCCTCCACTTCAATTGATTATTCCATTCATTCGGTATCTGAATCCATTAATTTGTATTTCTGCTTGGAAAAGCGTATCAGAATAAATTTTGTTTTCACTTGCAGGGACAGAGATGACCCACAGCGTGCAAACTGGGATTTACGCAAAATCGTGAAAAAGTATAAGTTGGAGGGACCTGTGGCCGGTAATTTTCTTTACAGCGAATGGGCGCCACCATTAGAAGAATATCCATGATCGTTATAGATGTCCGATGACGAGACTCATAAAAAAGTGATTTCATGACATAAAAGTTACTTATACATATAATTGGCAACCGCATCACTTCTAGCGGACGATTTATTGCAAATTATACCTCGATCAAAAAACTCCTGAAACCTCAAACATTGAACTTTTATACACATGTAACCAGCTCAATGCGATTCAGTGGTGCAGTACACTCATGCAGTTTACTTTCCACCTCATTATAACCGCTTCAAAATAATTAATTTGTATTTTGGTCTCTAACAATGAGATATCAAAAACACGAGAAATAAAGCTGGTCATTATTCCTCCGACCCACTCTTCGATATATTATTATTCGAAATGCCCGTGACTGGAGTCACGGGTCTAGAGACCGCTAAAATATCTATAACCCCGAAAAAATGGTGGTAGGGGAGCAAGAAATACCATAAAAAAAAAAATAAAAAAAAATAAAATCGATAGAAAAATGAGTTGAGGGGAGAGGGTGATTATTAAAAATTAAAAAAATTAGAACTAAAAAATTATTTAAAAAAAAATTATTAAAAAAATTAGAACTAAAAAATTATTTAAAAAAAATTATTAAAAAATTAGAACTAACCTAGCAATGATTGAAAAAAAAAAAAAAAAAAAAAAATGAAATAAAACATCAGCTGATAGCAAACAAAGGTTACCAAGGAAACCAAGGAATGGAACTTTCGTATAAATAGATTAGTGGAAAACAGTGTAAGTAGGTCACTTACGATAATTACCGTTTATAAAAGGTAAGTGCGATTTAACAAAAAATCGATACAGTTCTTTATAATACCAAAATGGACAAAATTACAAAATTTGAATGGGCTAACGTAAATCTAACGATAGTTATTGTGAACGAAAGAATTGACGACATAGGTCGGGTAACTATTATAGGTGGGATGGGATTATTATGTAGGTGGGATATTATAGGTGGGATGGAATGTTCCGAAATTGTTAAAAAAAATTATTATTTATTATGGGTTCAACGAGGTCTGTTAATATCGTTTTTCTTCTCTTTTTTAGGGGAGGGGTGGGGCTCTATTGAAATTAATAACTTAAAAGTCAATCAAAGTCGATACGATCTGGGAGTAGCCTTTCCGGAATAAAGCAACATAATCGGCTAGTACATTTTTAATGTTCAACAAGTACATTTCAATGTATAGTTGTTAAGTTAAGAGCCTGTGAAAATACCCGGGGTTGTTTGCCTTTCTTTGTTGATCTCCATTCAAACATATGCTCGAAGATTACATGAATGAAAAATTGAATAGAAAAGAAAGAAAGAAAGTAGTAGTAGTAGTAATATAATTTTACTAGCCGTTCTGGACGCGCTTTGCGCGTCCGTCACGGCCGACAAGGGGCTGCGCCCCCTGGACCCCCGATCACTCGCTCCGCGAGCCATTTTTCTCAGTGATTGGACATTATTGATCATTAAGATGTATACATTTTGGAGACTCTGAAGGCAAAAATGATTTCGTGCTGGAGCGTGCCATCATTTGCACATGAATAGACGTGTGGAGATGAAGCGACGATGGGGATCGATCATTTCTTCAAAAACGCATTTGACTGGGACGTCATCCCATCGGGTGGCGGAAAAAGACAATCTAGGGATCCGCCTCCGCGATTTGACTTGCTGAAGGAGCGAAAGTTTATCTTTACCTTTTAAGAAGATTATCGGTGGCGTAGGGGTCTAAAAACTGCTCAACGATAGTATAGTCTGAGTTCCGAATCGCAATGAGCCCACTCGTGTTTTTTCTTATACTTTCATCGCATATAAATTTCTCTGATGTTTTTGTTTTATTCTCTTCGATTGCATATTAGTAATCATATCCTCATTTCGTTTCCTTTCCATTTCCTTTTTCCCTCTCTGTAGCATCTGTGTCCATTTACAATTATTATTTTAAAATAGCTTTCCCCTAGTATACAATTGATGCTTCAAACGGAATCAATTGTTTAAATGACATTTCCGGCTAAATCATGGGGTTTCCCAGCAAAGCAGCCTCTTATACCTCCCGGACTCTATTGTTGCCAGATAACTTTTTTGGCACTTTTCCCAATCCAAATCCATGCAAAATTTTCACATTTATTGCACAATCTGGCAACCTCTCGAGTGAAATAGAAAAGGGTAGAATCGCTGAAAGTCTGAATCCTTCGAAGTTTATATTAATGATGATTAATGATGATGATGATGATGTTAAAGCGGTGCTTTAGCATCTAAGGCCATTTACACCTCTAAAGAAGGCAGTAATAGTAATAAATTTACATGGAAATTAAGGTTACATCAGTAAAAATACAAAAGGGTTGAGGGGAAAGGTTAAATTTTGAGATTAGTGGAGCGCATAAATTCAAAAAGTTTTACAGGATGAGTATTCAGAAGTGAGTTTTTAAGAGAGGGTAAGGGGTAGGGAAAAAAACGTGCTCGGAATTCTTTATAAAGTGGGCAACTTATAAGAACGTGATCTACCGTCAAGGGGGAATTTGGACAAGAAGTGCAAGCAGGACGGTTTGATTGGGTCATCAAATAGCTATGGGAAAAATTTGTGTGACCAATTCTCAGTCTAGTTTGGACTGCTTGTTGAAGTCGAGTCAAATGAAATTTTTCGGATGGAGGTGAAGTAGGCAATGTAGGGGGGGCATTTAGCATTGGTGAAATGCTGCCACTCAGTTACCCAATGGTGGAGAATTTTTCCTTTTATATCTAGAAACAGATCTTTAGAGGTAACCGATCCCTTCGAGAAGGGGCCAATTGAAAGGCTAGACTCCTTGGCTGCAGAATCTACTCGAACATTACCCGGAATATTAACGTGTCCTGGGCACCAAAAAAAAAAGTTTTTAGATATAAGGGTGGATACTAGATTCTGGATCTGGATAAGGATTGGGTGAGGATTATTGGGGTTACCTAAAGCACTTAATACACTATATGAATCTGAACAAATAATTGATTGTTTACAGTCTGCATTATGGACATAATTTAAGGCTTTGGAGATAGCTAGAGCCTCAGCTGTAAAAATAGATGTGACTGGTGATAATTTAAAATAGTATATTTCGTTCAATTCGCAACTGAAAGCGCATGCAGTATTAACAGTTTTAGATCAATCTGTATACAGGGTTATCCAAAAGTCACTGACCACCCCTGTAACTTTTTTCCAAATTGAGATAGAAGTTTGAAACTTTGGGAATGTTCCTCGGTCTAAAGTAGCAACTTTTTGGTCCCCCCAAAATTTTGGGGGGCGGCCCCCCTTAAGGGGGGCGGGGGCTAACTTTTTTTTTCAAATGGCAACCCCCCCTTTGTGATACCTCATTCGAAAGATAATAAAAAAAGAAAATTTTTGGCGCAAACCGCAGGTCAAAATGTTCATTTTTGACAAAATGGCGGCCGGTCAAAGTTCAAAATGGCGGAAATTTGGCATCTCCGTTGTTTATCGACGGATTGGTGTGAAACTCGGAATTCTAGGGTTTTTTGAGATGAGAAAAACGATTCTGGCATTGGTTTTCCAGAAAAGTCAGTCTTTTGCAAAATGGCGGCGGTCAAAATGGCGGCCTAGAGCGGGAAGTGGATATTTAGGCTGCATATCGTTGGATTTGCATGAAACTTGGTATCCGGGGGTATTTCGGCACGAGAAGAACGAATCTTTCATTGGATATCTGAAATTTTGACAAATTTCAAAATGGCGGCGGAAAAATTGCGGGAAATCAGTTTTACGGCTCTTTACCGATGGATAAGCATGAAAATATTTGATATTTCAAGAATCTAATGAAAGATTCCTTTTAATCCAGCCATAAACCGCCAGGATATCGAATTTCATGCAAATCCATCGGTAAACAGCCGTAAAACTGATTTCCCACAATTTTTCCGCCGCCACTTTGAAATTTGTCAAAATTTCAGATATCCAATGAAAGATTCGTTCTTCTCGTGCCGAAATACCCCCGGATACCAAGTTTCATGCAAATCCAACGATATGCAGCCTAAATATCCACTTCCCGCTCTAGGCCGCCATTTTGACCGCCGCCATTTTGCAAAAGACTGACTTTTCTGGAAAACCAATGCCAGAATCGTTTTTCTCATCTCAAAAAACCCTAGAATTCCGAGTTTCACACCAATCCGTCGATAAACAACGGAGATGCCAAATTTCCGCCATTTTGAACTTTGACCGGCCGCCATTTTGTCAAAAATGAACATTTTGACCTGCGGTTTGCGCCAAAAATTTTCTTTTTTTATTATCTTTCGAATGAGGTATCACAAAGGGGGGGTTGCCATTTGAAAAAAAAAGTTAGCCCCCGCCCCCCTTAAGGGGGGCCGCCCCCCAAAATTTTGGGGGGACCAAAAAGTTGCTACTTTAGACCGAGGAACATTCCCAAAGTTTCAAACTTCTATCTCAATTTGGAAAAAAGTTACAGGGGTGGTCAGTGACTTTTGGATAACCCTGTAGAATGGCTTATGCTCAGCATGAGAATCAATGACTGAGGAAAAGTTCTGTCTCATTTCAGCTCGAGATAAATTAGCTTTTGCAATAACCGGAACATTTAAAACATTTTCCGTGGGTAATGTCTGCCAAAAAGGGAAAATAGGTTATTCTTTAAATTTCAACACATCATTAAAATTAGTAAACCTGAAAACAGAAAGATACAATTGGTTTTTGAATGTAAGTAATTCTTTGAAGGTTTCAGGAAATGTATCAAACGATTTCATCTTAGCGAGATGTTTTGCGAGCAGTAATTGTCTTCTGTAAGAAAGGGGAGGCTCACGAGCTTCTATACATAGACTAGATGATGGACTTGACTTAAAAGCACCTGTTGAAATTCGAATACCTGTAGTACGAATGGCATCTAAAGTTTTGAGGGTAGAAAGGGCTGGCAGTCCCATAAATAAAACAGGCATAATCTAATTTTGATCTAATCAAAGATCGATAAAGATTGAGCAAAGTGAATTTATCAGCGCCCCACGAGGTGCGTGACAAAAATTGTAGGATTCTTAATCTAGACATACATTTAAAAGAAATAAAGAAAGTTGTAGTAGTAGTAATATAATTTTATTTTAAAGCGGTGCTTTAGCATCTAAGGCCATTTACACCTCTAAAGAAGGCAGTAATAGTAATAAATTTACATAAAGAAAGAAAGAAAGAAAGAAAGAAAGAAAAACATAATCAGAGTATGTTAGATACAATCAAAGGCAGGAATGCTAAAATACGGAGGTATCAACCATGCGCAGCAGAACAAGTACGCACAGTTCGCCTTCAAATGAAAGGGTAGGCAAAATCACTGCCCACGAGTTAAAATAGTGGTAATCCGCTCACTACCATCAATC